CCGCCGCCTAGGCCGTGATCCTCCCGCCTCGCGCCTCATGTTGATGAACAAACGAAGCAAACAGCCGCGAAGTGAGAGTGATCTGGACAGTCTGTCTCCCGCGCGAACACGAAGCGGACAAAGTGTGGAGACTACACATGCAGCTGGTGACGACTTCACCCACGCTGGCAACATGCCTGGCGTGACGCGTGACAACGTCGCCTACAGCGGTAACGGCGACACCGACACGGACTCGGGTGGTAACAATGATCGGGGCCGTCGCTCCTGACCCCGCACCGGCTTGGCCGAAGACACGATCGCACGCGCTAGCATTTCTGATACAGAGGGCATCATTGCGAACGATGACGCGAACTCTGTTGCAAGTTCATGTGACAGTCCTGAACGTAACAGCGAGGACTTAGAAAACGTCGAAATTGCCTCTATTGAGAGCACCGCCTCTGCTCCTCGTGTAAAACAGCAGGAGCAAGCACGTCACACGGCGGAACGAGTGCGCATTAATTTCGTACAGCCTCGCGCGGATCAGGAGGGTGTGACGGCCATTTATCCTCCACCTCCAACTGCCCGGCCGATCGGCGCCCGTGATGCACCATCAGTGTGCACTTCAAGAGGTGCAGACAAGCGCCTTCACGTCCTGAAAACCCATCTTCAAAACAAACATGGGGGCCTGGGACTTCGCGCGCAGTGTCTCGGCTGCGGCAAGGGAGCGAAAGAAAGACGAGAAAGCTAGCGCCTACCTAGCGCACGCAACTTTCACTGGGCGTACGTTTGACGCGCGTCAGACGCAACACGCCGCGTATGGAGGAGAGGGTAACCGCCGTCCAATGCGGCCGCACATCACGCGATCGGGAAGACTCCTTCTCCCCGTGTCGGCGCCGCTGCTACTCGCCCGACCCCTGTGCGACACATTTGTCTCGCGCGCAAAGCGCGACAACGAGAGGCGTGCGGCCTTCCACCGGCACCTTAGGGTCACGCACGGGCGGGACAAGGCGACCAAACTGTGTGGTTCGCCACAAATCTTTTGGCCGCCTCCTTGAGCACTGGACTACATGTCCGACCTCAAGAGAGCTGCGCCCGCCGCCCTGTAGTATACATTACCCCTGCCCATTGCTCCTGTACCATTGCCCTGGAGTATCTATTACCGGCCCCTTTCGCGACGCCGGGATGCGGACAGACGTGTGCGTCGGCACGCCACGCCAGCCTCCACGCCGCACATCACCCTTTCTTTTGTCCCCTCCACAGTAACCCTGTGAAGAAGGGGAGTTTATTAACTATAAATGTTTTCATATTATGCTGCTGCCTTGCGGCTTAAGCAGCTACAGGTGGGGCTTTTTCTTACAACTAACTTACAATCTAGACCTAAAGTTATCTTATTTGCACTTTGGCATTACTAACTTACACTAAAATCATTTTTGTAATTCTATTTTATATATTCTCCGCACATTGTATTTTGTATTGTTGGTAAATTATAATTATTTTTCTACATTCACACATCATTCATGCTAGTTTCATTATGTACATAACCATTCATTCTTCCCATTCATTCGCACTTCACGCTTCTTCACTTCCCCCTTCACTGCACTGTTCGCCACGGCACTGACTTGACTCCAAGTATCCGTGGCGCTCGGGCCCATTGGGAGGCGTGGCAGGTAGGGCGCGGCGTCGCGTTCCCCGCGCGTCCCTCGGCCGATGGCGAGTCGCTTCGGACCTTTCCGGAAGACATCTCCCTGCACCCTGCATTCGGACATCACCCTGCACAGGACAGGAGAGCTGCTGTTGCGGAGGGAAACAGGATCTTCCCTGACACGCGGCGAGGGAGTGAAGCCAGGCTTCGAGGCGCCCCCGCGGCCCCCACAGCCTCGGCAGAAGCGTCTCCTTTTCACCGCCTGCATACGCAGTTTATGGACCTATGCTTGCGAAACCTTTGCGGCAGCGCCGGTCTCGACCCTACGCCCGATTTGGGCGGCCGAGAACCAATGGCGGCCGAGAACCGGTGAGGACCGCCACGCGGCCGCATCTCCCTCCTCCTCCTCCTAACCGCCACCATTGGAACAGTGTAACCTACGGGGCCTTGGGCGTGAGTCAGCTGCCGGAGGAAATCCGCCGGAGGGCACACACTTCTGCGCCCTATCCAGGGCGCAGAAGGCGTTCCGGCCGTTTGACGGCGTGCTCGAGCACAATTATCTTTTAGAGAATGAACTCGAGGGCGCTCGAAGGGGCGGCCGGGGCCTCTGTCTTGCTCTCCTGGACCTGGCAAACGCCTTTGGCTCCACAATGTCCTCGCGGAAGCCATGAAGGCAGCTGGTGTTGGCGACACCTTTGTGGATATTGTGGCCGACATCTACCACAACGCGTCCACTGAGGTCATCGCGGGGAACGGGGTCACGGCCCCTATCGATGACCGTTCCGGAATTCGACGGAGCTGCCCCCTAAGCGGCCTCTCTTCAACTATATCATTGATGTTGCGCTGAGGGCTGTTGAAGCGGCGCCCACTGAAGCTCCTGCAGTCCTGGCATATGCTGATATAGCGTTGATGGCCGAGACATCCGACGCACTACAAGGCCAAATCGACGTAGTGCAGCGGATACTGCACCGGATTGGCATCGAAGTCAAGCCGGCAAAGTGCCGATCCCTCCACATCGCCAACAGACGTGTGCAGTCCACCGTCTTAAAGGTGGGAGGAGCGGACATCCAGGCCCTACAAGAGGGGGAGGCGGCCCACTACCTGAGCCGCCCTGTCGACTTCAACATAGTAAGCTCCTGGACGGGCCTACAGGACCAGGACCACATTGCATCCCAGATTGCCCAGTCGTCCCTGCTCGACTGGCAGAAGCTGGATGCCATTTTTACCTCGCTCACATTCCCTCTTCGCATGGGCTCGTACATGAAAAATCAGTTACATAGCTTTGATGACGCTCTACGGGCCCATGTGAAGCGATCCTTTCCCTCCCTGAGACCGCCTCTTCCAACTTCCTCTACGGGTCACGGGATGCTGGTGCACTGGGATTACATGAATTCCGGAGAGAGTGACTTCTGGGCGGTAGATATCGCCTTTAAAATCCTAACATTCTCTGACGCCCTGGTCCGCCTGAGAGCGACAGACCATCTCAGAACGGAGGCTGCTTATTGCCAGCGAGTGGCCTCGGCCGAGGCTGACCTGCGTATCTGAGCGGGAACCAGGTGCCCCGCCACACCACCCACTCGACGTTCTGGTCCCGATCGAAGAAGGCAGCCAAACGGCTAGGGATCCGCTGGGTATTCTCACCCCAGGGAGACGAAGCCTCCACCCCAGCCCTGCTCCTCCCTGAGGGAGCCGAAACGGAGCAGCAAGGGCAACAGAGAAGCGAAGAAGCTGAGGAGGACTACGAGAAGCTGCTGGGTGCTCCCGCGGCTGAGAACACCGCGGAGGCCGACGCGGGCGTAGAAAACACTGCGCGCCCTACCCCGGAGACCGCCGCGGCCTTGGCTGCCGCGCGCGCCGTGGCTGCCATCGCCGCCGCTGCCGTATAAATTTCTCAGGGTTTACAGGCACTAACAACGTCCTGCTCTATTTCTTTATAATTTGTTGTTCAGGATTTTATATGTATCTTTCACTCTATGTCCCATCATATGTATTTGTATCGTGTTCTCCGTCCCAGAGATAACTGTACATATCTTGTAAATACACTAAATATTTGTATTGTTTTTCAGTGACTATACGCATTATTTATTTGGATTTCAGGGTTATTAGTTTAGCCCCTTGTTGCTTCATATTTTTGTACGTACTTTATACATATCATCAGTACTATAAGTTTACCTTAATTAATGTAATTAATGCCTCAAACATAACATGTATAAAATTTGATGAGGAATAAAGGAATTTGCAGGAGAATGGGAAACCATTATTCTCATTACTGCGCAACTACCATGCACTTGTCAGTTTTCTTGAGATTTTACATTGCATTGTAATGTATTTTTGCACTCCTACCTACTATGAAAATACGAATCCTGGCGCATCAACTGAAGCGTGCGGCTAATCACTGAACAAGCACTAACTGATAAATTGTGCAAGAGAAACTATGAATAAAAACATCACACCATTCTGCATTCATTAAACCTCCTAGGGCGAATTGCACACGTGTCCCATTGTTCCAATCAACTTCGATCAACCTTTAACACAACTGAAATAAATAAAAATCTCCTTATATCTATAGTTATGAAACTTTGTTATAAAAAAGAAGTTTTATAAACAGGAAATACCTTCCCGGACGCGCAATAAATTAGATTAATATGGGCTTTTACACGGCCCGTGGTTCTATTAGTTAAACGGGGCTTGATCTACTAAATCTGTGTTTAGTCGCACTCTTCAATTCTAGCGCTGAAGTGGAGTGAGAAATCACTAATATAAAGATTCAAAGAGTATGCAAAACCTCATGTAACCTCGCGGATATATCAATATAGAATTAAACAACGCAGGGAAACAAAACAGCAAGCGCCAAAAATATTTAAAATACAGAGGGGAAAACCCTTGTTCCTGTCGCGCATAGGAGCTCATTTTCATATAGAGCACTGAAGCAATAAGTGTGCGTGTGCCCGATAATGTTTCTCCACTGGGGTGGAAAACTGAGCAGCGCAAATTTCGCCGAGAAGACATTGTCAGTATGTTCCCCGAGACGCTCCATTTTAGACTCGTCCATAATAGAATGTGAACACATCTTAAACGCAACATCGTGATGCAATGATTTTCAACCAGCATTCATAATGGTGAAAGTGAATAATTTTACTATAAAGATAAAGAGGACGAACTAACCCCTCTCCGAAATGCGTACGGCATCAACCTCCGTTTGCTAATAATGATCACTTTCAATTCAAAAGAATAGTTGAAGATTTCAATTCAAATCAATTCATAGTCTATCCTAAAAGTGACTCTACAAGAGTCTCAGTCCTCAACACATTACATTGCAATTTCAGCATCTCTCGAGCAGGTGAATCTTCAAGACGAACAGCAGAAAATGCAGCGAAGTATTTCAGGAAACTGGTCCAGATCACTATCGCCGAGATCCTACCTTGTCATGGCGACGTAACTTTCATATTTGGAAGATATTGTAGAGGGACACCATCCTTGACTATTGACCCAGAAGATACTCATGCACTGCACTTTCTTCCTCTGAAAGTGGAACAAGACGTAAGCGAGTTCTTTGCTAAATAATTTTCAAGATTTCACCACAATTTAATATTGTCGTTCTTATCTCACTTAATTTTACCTGTCAACATCCGTATCAATCCAAAGTTCCAGACACAATTCTCAAAATCTCCAACAAAATTAATGGTGCTTCATTATTACTGCTTGTTGTGCAAGTTAAACCTGAAACCAGAAATTTAAGTGATCTTGATGCTCTAGTACTACATCAAGGAAAAATTTTCTGGGGGTGATCGAGAAAATGAAGTGTGACTTATTTGAGAGGTGACAAGACAACTTGAAAAAGTTTAGATAAGTATATTAACTATAAAAACTATTATTTTATATACCAAGTTCCATGAACCAGCGTTTCTATGAATATTAATATTTTGAAAGTGAGCCTATGACCTTTTATGGTAACATGACGTAACTGGAATGGTCGTAAGTGCATGTCTCAAATCGTCAGGATGGCCACGGTCTCAGCAAAGTTGGAAAGTTAATTCAATCGAATGCTTTTGGTTAATAGTCTTATCAGAAATTTACAAAAATCGCATTCATGAAAAAATATTTTTCCTTAGAGAACATCCTTTTCTTGAAACGAGTTTTTGACATAAAATGTATTAGCAAATTTTCCCATTTTTGCTTAAAAGACAAACTTAAGTATAATTTATTCATTAATGCAAAACGTAAAGTATCTTAATGATCAAGCAGGCGTAAAGAAAAACTTTAGATAAGTGGCACTCAGAACCGGCGAAAGAAAATTTGTTGAATTATCGAGTAAATAAGGAATAATACGATGAGAAGATAATTTTTGATTAGAATATAAACCAGTCAGATGGCTCAAATCGTTAGAGCAGTGGTGCCGTAGCGATCTCAGACCACAAGACCGCGGGTTTGAGACCCGCCTCGGGCTTGGGTGTATTAGTGATTGTTTATGTGTGTGTGTGCCGTCCTTTCATCCCTCACAATCATCTCATCGTTCACGCCCCCAGGGCCACCAACCTTGAGGGATAAAAATCGGGATTCAGCTAAAAATGCTGATACCCCCCCCCCACACACACACACACACAAAGGTACTTACACCTGATGAAGGGTGCACGCGTGATCAGAGTTGGCCTATAAGCTAAAAAGAAGAAAAAAAAGAAAATACATTTTGTGACTTCCTGCCTTTCCCCGCAGGGGGATTCGCGTCGGCGTAGGTGGGCGCGCTTTCTGGTGGAGAGTTTTAGACGACCACCCAGACCCTGCGATTCACGGCGACACTCACGCCGTTAGCTTCAAGGTGGAGGCAGTGAGTAGGCGACGCTAAGCCCCGAGTTGCCGGGCCTTGCTCGCTAAACCCACCAGCTAAGCCCCTGGCGCGTCGACCTTTGGGCAGAATCGTGCGAAGGACGTTCTTAGGAATGCTACACATCCCTTAAAATTCTGATGGGGATGAGATACTCCATCGATCCAAACGTTTTCAAAATCTCCCCACTACTGTCCTTTGGTATGCGGTCAGCCATGTCGCTGATTTCAACACTTCCCAAGCTGATGAGACGAAGTCGAAACAGTAAGCCAAAGAATATGTTTGCTAGCGTTTGCCAAAGGGTATCTTGTTTAAAACACTTTGACCAACAGGTCCCAAATACCACTCAGAAATTTTGAGGTTTTGCTATGCTGTTTCGACTTCAATTCGTCTCATCAGCTTGGAAGGTGTTGAGATCAGCGACATGGCTGACCGCATACCCAGGGACATTAATGAGGAGATTCTGGAAACTGTAGGATCAAACTTTGTACTCCACGAAGCAAACGCCTTTTTCCTTTTGGCTCACTCCTTTTGGCTGCAACGAGATACTTCCCCGTCAGGTTTCCTAGGTTCTGACGGGTCTCGCGTCACAAGCCTGAAGGTGTAGACCGTGAGGAAACTGGAAGGGGGCCCCAAGACGACCAAACCACAGTTCGGGAGGACCCTGTTTGGCTCTGTTTCTTCGTTGCCGTGACCTGATACTTTGGGCAAAGGGGAGGGACTTGTTCCAGCATTTGCATTCCAACATTTTTGCATAACTTTTAGTTTTCGTAATTTTTGGAAAATCCAGAGAGCAACGAAAATTAGACCTGCGCTATTTCTTTAAGCGATCTTTCCTGCATCACAGGAAAAACTTTAAAGAATAAATTTGGAGACATTTCTGAAAAGAACTATAAACTGCCACCTTTCACAAAGAACTAACTTTTTAGAACGGGTTTTATTTAGAAAACTAAATCATGAACAATATTCTAATTAACGTGCAATGTTCATTTTTTTGCAGTGTTTTAAAATATAGGAATGTCTACACAACGTGTTAGAGGAACTAATTAACCACACATATGAACAAGATTAATACTTTTTTCCACATTCCTGCTCCACTACACTTTACTTCTAGGCTAATACTTCCGTAGCATTAAAATACTTTCTCTTTATTATGCAATTACGCAGTATGCGAGAAAGTAACAAACGGAATGGCAATAAACCAACCATGTTTACTCCACTAGCGCTCCCTGCCGATGCCCCCTCGCACAGCCCGCAGTTAGGCAGTTTCCAAATTCTACTTACTGTACGGGCGCAGTCGCATCGGCGGAGAGGCACTGGCTCGCACTAGGGCGGCGGTACCACCGTCCAACCCCTTCATTGGTCCCGCGTTGCTGCTGTGCAACCAACCAGGCCAAGGCCTTGTCGAGTCACCCCGTCGCGACGCGGCGGCCGATCAGCGCACTCCATTCGGGCCCTTCCGCTGGTCCCTCTTTCGCGGCGACCGAGGCCTAACGCACAGAGACGCCTCCGGTCAGACTTAGAACTTAACTTAGTCCTTCTTAATACTTGTAAATAAAGATTATCCAGTACGATTTACAATGTTTTAAAGATAAAATTAAATAGCGAACTTGAAATTGTAGACAACCTAAACAATCCACCTTACTTACTGTAAAATCACGTTGATAGTATGCCCAACACGCAGTAAAATCGGTTCATGTGTAGGGCATTGGTTAAAATTGTAAATATTAGCGCCCCCAACCTTTATGTGAAAGTTACTTCTAGTGAGATTTCGTGGATTAAATGTGAAAAGTACATTTAAAAATATCCAATGACTATAGTGTAACGTACTGGCGAGCGAACGTCATGGCAGCTATTTGGGGACGGGTGGTAAGGGTTTAGCAACAAAAAAACGCCTCGCCACAGGAGGGAGAGAAGGGTTTTTCCTAAAAGCAAGCACGTGGCTAAGGGAGTCGTGAGACTCTGGGGTTCTCGTATCTTAGGGAACGGAAACCCGAACCTCAGGGCAAGCAGGGAGTGCTGAAGCGCGCTGCGGAGGCGGCGTGGTGAACCTCAAGTATATAAGGGAGTGCACAGGGGGGTTCTGGAGACTGTGGGAGAACCTCGTGCAGATGCACAAACTTTGCGCAGCGGGGGTGCAGCGGCGAGCAGGGATCGCGAGGCAACTCACGTGCTGACGCGCCTGTGGGGACTGTGCCCTGGTGTGACTGCGGTCACGTGGGAGCGATGCGTGCTCCGAGGCGAGGAGTGGTTGAGTGCCACGACTCGCACAGATTCTCAATCAGGCAAGTCGATGAAGGCAAACCATCAGTCGGTGCGCCTGTAGGGACTTTGCGTCTTAGTGTGACATCCGGTCACGGAAGCTTGGCTTTGAGCGCGCTTCAGATTTAGGAGTGGCTAGTGCAACAATTGAAACCGATCATCAATCGCGTTGAGATCGCTCCAGCGATCAGGGGATAGGTCTATCGGAGCTAGGGTGTAAAGTGTAAATTCAATTGTAAATATTTGTTGTTTTTCTTGAAAATACATATTTGTTAATATGAAAGCTCGAGTGTGTTTGCTGTGAGTATTCATGACGTCACAATAGTATGGTTACACAAGAGTTGAAATCCAAACATTTAGAATTTCAACGCGTACGGAGAACCCGTGGAGCTATGAATACATAGTGGTAGCATTATTACTCGCACAACTTTTCTTGAACGATGGTTTGATGAAATGCCGGTGCAGTGGGGGTATTAGTTACGAAATCAGCCACTAGATTTTATGAAGCAATGTCAATCTCTGAAGAATCAGTCATGTCTTCGCAACGTTCATAATAATTTGTGTTCTAACTTTCTCAGCAGCTCGAGGTATCTCCTCTGATAGATCTGCTTCGGTTATTTCTTTAGATTTTTATTTTTTATTTTGAGAAATCCCTGACAAGTTCTATCTTCAACAGAAAATAGTTTCTATTTCGCGCCAGTGGAGATGTGTTCGGAATGGTAACATCAGTGCTCGATGCGCGCTTTTGCCTTCATCTATTGTGTCAGAAAGGGGGAAGCAAGGTCATCGTTCAAGAAAAGTTGCGAGTAATACCAACCTCAGCCATGTTTCGCAAGTGCAGCCAGGGGCCAAAGTCATCCACCATATTCGTTTTCCAAAATAGAACAAACAATAATGAATGGGTAATACCCATTTTTCAATGGAATTTAACAATCATCGGAATATGAAACAGTATAATAGCTAAACCTGATAACAAACAAACTATGGGATCACTGTAATATATTTTCAATGTGTGAAAATAAAAATAACTTTAGATTTAGATTTATTTAAATTTAGTCAAAAACAGTAAAAACTGTATGTGACAGGGAGGAGAAGATTATCTGCGCACGTTTTCTTGAGTTTCAGAATCCCTTCTCGTCATTTTAACTACAAATAGTTGAAAGATGAGTACAAGTTTAACATAAATAAAAAATTTTAAAAATCGCAAGAATATCAATTTTTTAAAATAGTCACTTTTGTTTCCGAGTTATAGATAAATTATTTGCATCGGTACGAGAATTGCAAGTGTGATTTTTCTGCATTGCTAACAAAATAGTAACTCGCGCTTACCTCTACTCTTACAATTACAAACAAAAGGAAAGTTCAACAAAAAGTGCGCATAGTCAAGCTACATTTACGTCGAGAAGTAAAACGAGGGGCCATCCCAGCATTTGCTCAATGGATCACGGAAACTGGACCGAGTGTCCGATTACGATAGAACAAGGGATGGGAGGAAATTACCGCGCGCGGTCAGGTATGGTACTACTCTGTCATTGGCCTGGTATTGATCAGACAAACCACGAAAAATCTACCGATCAGGGCAACCGGCGGCTAGAATTGTCCTCCAGACAGCGACAGAAGACTGATTATTACTGTCAACATGCAACCCAATCAGCACGAACCGAATAAACAATTACGCATTAGTTTCTGCTCTTACCTGTATTCTTCGCCGTCGACGCCAATTTTAACTTGCGACGAAACGGCTTCTTCCCCAGATGTTCCTTTCACATCACCTTTAAGAAATAAGGTCAATCATTATTACACAGATTTACACTATAAATATAACCAATCACACACGTAAATACTCAGAAGTGCAAGATTAAATTATTTCCAAAAGTTACTTTAAAACATAACAAGAGCTTATAAAATATTTTCTTGTATTTTCCCAAGCAAATCAGTCTCCTTCAAGCTTGTTGAATCTTTAGTTTTAGCATGAATGTTGATGCATCTCTTCGTATTTTAGGATAAGTGGGTAACAAACTCACGAGTTCTAGAAAATTCGGATTCACTCCATGTCAGAGATATCGTCACAAAAACATAGTAAATCTGGACGAGTCAGGTAGTTTAAAACGTAAAAAAAATGTTGTAGTTTTGGCACGTAGCCAGGTGGCGATAGTACAACGGAAATGTAAGAAAAAAGTCATCTTCGCTTATTCGAAAACTTTAAAAGTTCTGTACTGATCGTTAGTTACGCAATACCTAGCATAAACTATCTACAGAATTCGGAATTATGTAAAAAGAGACCACGTGGTCTAATTGAGAATTTGGTAGACTTATTACGTATTGTATAACAAACGCACTGGCCACGTTTAAACAAACATTTTCAAAAGTGTCATCGACTCGTTTTTCACACGTTTAGTTTTATTTTAGCGCTTTTCTGTCCCAGTGGCAGATTTCGGGAAATACAAAACTAACATTTTTGTTATAGTTATTCGAGTACTACAACGTTTTCAAATCTGTAATTGTTATTATCCTTTCTAGATCTATCCACAAACGTCTTCTACTTCCCAGTCTCCAAAAATAGGCAGCGTTGCCTTCGTTCTCGCCTGGGTTGTCTAAAGGACAGCGGACTTGGCGACTGGCGCTCCCACGGTCAGGGCGCCGAAGGGAAGCTTCGTCGATGTCCTTGGCCTTCGGTACCCATTTTTTTTTTTTTTTAACGCAACGCCACAAGCGTAATTTAATGTTAATGTAAACCTTGGGAAAATTTTTCCTGCATTTGAAGCCAAAATAGTAAGAAATTACGCAGATATTCAGTAAAATCGGATAGTGTTAAGAAAAAAAAGTTAAATTACCGTGGCCATGGAAAAATATCTACTGACGTGTGGCTGGTAAACATATAATAAATGTTGTAACACATTCATATACTAATTATCTAGTAAATCTGTGAAAAGCTGTTATTCATAACTGCAAGAACATGATAGGAGTATAAAAGGGGAAAAAAAGAGAAAATTACAATCTAAACAAGTGACCATACTTTCTCCATAACTGGTATTTACCCAAAGACAAAAACAGGAGGAAAATTAATTGTGAAAATCTAAAATCATTTGAACTTTCATGTTCAGGAATAAATAACATTCCTTTCACGTTAGGGTTACCGAAGAGTTCAGAATGGAATTCAGAACATCCCAAATATATTTCAGAGCAAGTCGTTTGCTTTTATACAAATATATAGTATATCAAGTAAATAGTATAACAAAGGAATGCTATATCAAGTAAACAACTAAATAGTACGAGTAGATTAACGATACATTACATTGCACACTTTCAAGAGTAATGGGTGATCTATTTTTCAAGAACGAATTTTCCAGGCTTTTCCACGTTATTCAAGTAATTTCCTTATTTTTCCAGGGCAAAATTGTGTGAGGTATTTCAGGATATTTACATAAAATATTAAATAAAGCTTGTCTTTGGTCGATATTCAAACACTTCTTGATTGAGCCCTTTTCCCCTTCGCATTCCAGATTCTCTCCGATTCGAAACACACACAACCTTTATTTTTTTGATTTCTCAGATTGTCCCATAAAAGGACAAAAAATATTTGTTTTAACCAAAGAATTAGCTACTTGTGTTCTCTTACAGAACCTTTAGTTGTGATGTAATTCACACGCAGTGCCAAAACAGTTTTTTTCTGGGATGTAGAATTATAACAGTAAAACTTCAGGTCATTTGGCAAAAACAACGAATAATCTAGTGGAATACATGTCGATATCCAGGACGTATACTATTTTTTCAGGACGTACGGCAATCGTGTTTCACGTATGGAAACATTTTCAATATTTTCTCCGAATTTAATCACCACACAATCTATATTTCGTCGGCAAGTGTGCGAGAAAGTATATTATTACAAGATTGTTTTGCGAAAATGCACAATTTGTGTGTGTGAGGTTCTACGGAGATTGAGTCACGAGAGCAGTCACACACACACACAAATAAATAAATAAATAAATAAATAAATAAATAAATAAATAAAGGGGGAGTTGAATGTTACCATATTTTTTTTTACATTGGTTTAATCATGGATTTCATGCGAAACATTTCTTCCCAAAAGAGTTCACTATTATGACAATGTTATAATTTTACTTACCTCCAACTACGAAGAGGTATTTCAGAAATAAAACAAATTCACTAAATCCAATTTTCATCAGTATCTAAACGCCTTCCCAACTTCCATGTCCGTACTCTTCCGAATTCCCAGAGCAACTGAAACTCGCTGCTGTGATTCGCCGGCCTTGTGAACTCACGAGAGGGGGGAATGGCGGGGAAGTGCAAATGGAGGAGGAGGAGGAGGAGGAGGAGGAGGAGGAGGAGAAGGAGGAGATCTCTCAGGTGCAAGCACGTTTTGCTGACTCCTGTATCCTTACCCCTCCTCATTTATGATTCATTATTGAATTATGAATAGAGGTAACAACACGCGTTTTTGGCAACATTTGATAATACAACATTGCTCAAACGTAATACTTGCTATTTGCATCGGCAAAAGAGAGATTTGATCGTACTGCCAACAAAATCCCTAGGTTTTGTCGCAACTGGAAAACATAGCTTCTGAATTTAAAAAAAAAAATCGAACCTGTCGCACATCGTTTATATTTACATTGCAGATATATTTAATAGTTTAATGCATTTATGGACACAAAAACCTTGAAATTAGATATGAAATTTGTTGAAATCTCAAAAGATGCGAAACAAAAGTGTGAAATTAAGAGTGATTTTTGGAAATATGTTTCATTTTCCAAAATTCACTCGTTTTATTTACGTTAACCGTTTCCTCCTGTTGAAATCATTCACATATTTTCTTCTAGCTACTCATCCATGATAGCCACCTTGCCTCAAAAAAAGTCACTCAGTACTCTCACATACATTTACTTGCAAATTAATTTTAAAGTTCACTCGCTATTTTTTGATGCATTTATTCCCGGATTTTCTTCACTTTCCGTAGAATTGCACGACCATCTCATCCACTACGTTTGTTTGGACGTCCAAGTTTTCTCACGTTTTTCAATGTTTTCCTTACACGAAATCTATCAGTGGCCCCCAGAATGGTATTCCGTGGTGTTTAAAATCTGAGAAATTACCGGCAAGATTTGCATTGATTATGCAACTTGATAATTTTTCTTTCTCTCAAAAACATTTCCTTCCCTATACGACCCATTTACTTTTTTTTTTTTTTTTTTTTCATAAAAAACACAGACGCCTGTCTAGTATCTCTCAAACACTATGCAAGAACAGTGCTGGATACCGTTCCTAGCGTCACAAATTTCCCACGGGTCAGGCGTAGGGGAGTTAAAACCGTTAGTTGTCCTTGCTGTACGAATACTTCTTGCGTCTTTTCTGCTGTTTTTGATATTAACTTTTCAACTGAACAAAGTACACTTAGGTTAATACTATGATGGATATATCTATTGATTATAATTCATTATTGCATGATAATTACAATAATTGTTAAAATGATCCGAATACTTTTTACACTCACTGTACGTGATTACTAGTGCCAACGCTGCATGGGCAGACCGGGAGATCACCCAGGGCCCCGTCAAGTCAAGGACCGATGGATAATAGGACCGATGGAAACAAAATTGTAAAATATTTAAAAAATACATTAGAACTCGAGAAAATCGTTGTCTTAATTTAATAAGTCGCGGTACAGTAGTCTGATATTTCATACAATTTTCAATTAATTTTCACCTTAAATGTGATTATAATCATTATTTATAAGGTAGGTTTGTGATCAAATAACACAAACTCAAAATATGTTCTACTGAAATTCATATTCATTTTTTCAAGTTTTAAACAAGTAACTTTATTAAACACTAACTTTATAAAACACTAACTGTTCAGTAGAACAGAAAGGAATATATTATTTGAAAATTATGTTACAAGCTTAGAAATTGCCAAGGCCTCACAATAAAAAATATAAACATGTAAATACAAAGCACAATTTTGCAAGTAAATACAAGTTGACAATACACTTCTGGTACATCAAAAGAAAGATCAATCGTTAAAATTTTAAAAAAGCAAGTATATTTTAACCTCTAAAATATATTGCATAACAAAACATTCGTAATTCATGCAATATGAATGTTTCTTCAAAAGACTGGAGTAAAATAACATTTGTCAAAAATGTGTTAGTCTGAAAATATCATGTTTTGCTTTCAATTTAATCATAAAACACTGAAGTAATATTAAAGTACAAGTAGTTTTTTGCTACATATAATTATTTTGTTGAGAATATTAAGTAATGTCTCCTATAGATGACTGCACAGATATGTAACCAAAGCTTACTGTGCTGTTAATGGCTAAATTACATACTGAATATGAAAATTCATGAAGGATGAAAGTAAAATACTGTTGTTTTTTTTTTCACCTGAATTTTGCACAATACAACAACCAATGGAAACAGTAGGTTTAGAAAACAGAATGAAAATAGCTCTAATTTGCAAATGAAGCATCCGTATGCAAATAAATAAAAACTTACTATTGGAGACTTTTTATTACATTGAGTATCAGTTTATTTATACAATACTCTAATTGTTACACAATAATTGTGTTGCAATTTACCATCTTTCAAAAATATAGTTTTTCTTGTGCCTCTGGGAAGCAACATTATCTTGGCAAACCCTCTTTGACCCTCAGCCATCTTCTCCAGATCATTTGATGGCAGTTCCTGAAAAGTAGGCACTGATGAAATCACTCCCTAATCTTAGGTATGTTTTTCTGATCTCTTCTTTTTC